TTATGAGTGAAATCCTCACTTTCCAACCACAGAAGAAGGCAATAAGGGTTCTAAGAAGAACTTGAAGCAAATAAAAGAGGGAAATTTATAATGGCAAATCCTCACAGAGTCATTGGTGTTAAAGTCACAAGACAAATCATCCCAAATTTTATTTAGTCATAGCATAAATCTCTATCCAAAATGAAGACAAGCTTTGACAATTTATAATGGCAACAAAAGAGGGAAATAAGAATTTCATACGTTATGGTGAAACTAAATGTCTGAATCTGAAAGCCAAATTGAAATTTAACTCAACGAGAGAGCCGCATCTGTTGCTAAGCCTCTGCAGCAATGTCTTCGTCCGCTTGAAATCTACTTTGGAATTGAAAACGTTTCCTCCGGATCTTAGATTCTTGTCTCCAAACCCAAGAACTCTATACGATGACGACAGACAACTAAACAACCAACAAGATTTGATGAATAAAAAAGCGAAAAAAAAGGAAAGACGAAGACAACTAACGGAGGCACAAAGGAAACTCAATACTCTCTGAGCATCTTCGTGTGGAACCGACTCGCGGAGGTATGGAATAATGGAACGAAAAACAACAAAAAAATGGTAGAACAGGACCGCTAGTGAGAGGGATTCATGGATTTTGTCTTACCTTCCACAGATATGGCCGGAGAAGCTACCGGAGATATGGCCGTTGGAACAGCGGCTTGAAGGGGAGACGAGCTTGTCGACTTCTTGCTCTGACAAATTCGATAGATTTTCTTAACTTTTCTTTTCACCGGCGTCGCACTAAAATGGTGCGATCCAGCTCACTAAACGGTGCGTCCCTCTAATTTCTCATCCCAAAACACTGTTTACCGGTAAACAAACACAAGAAATAGATAATCATTTAGGAATATTTTCTTTTTTCGTCCCTTTTTCAGCAATCAAATAGACCCTAAGGACAAGTTTTTCAAAAATAATAATGGGAAGAAATTTAATAAGAAATTTAAATTCTCAAAAGGATTCAAGAAGACTAAGGGTAAACATTGCTTTAATCGTGGAAAACAATGCTATACAAAATATAATTGCCCTGAATGCAAGAAGAATAAATCAAATAATGAAAAAGGAAAAACTGAAAAGAAAGACAGTTTGTGTAGTCTCTGAATCCTACTTTACTGATTCTGATTTTTCTGATTTGTGCATAGATTCTGGCTCCTTTAACCATATTTGCAAAAATAAAGAGATGTTTTTAGAACTGAAGAAAATGAAGATAGGAGAACACATAATTTTTATGGGAAACAACACCTACACTGTGTTATGGTCACACCATTCGGCAGTGCACTGCGGCGCAGTCATAGGCAGCAGCACGCACAGCAGGCCGCACAACAGCGGGCACCGCCTGGCAGCGCCGTACAGCAGCACGCACTGCCGATAGCGCACAGCAGCGCGCACACGCCCAACACCGCGTGGCAGCGGCACCATGAGCTGCACGCACGCACTGTGCGACAGCAGCACTGCACACATGCACCGCGCGCACGCACTCGGCAACAGCAACAGAGCGGGGCCCACACGACAGCTCATAGGGGTGGGCCCACCCTTATCTAGACACGTCAAGCCAACTCGCCACCAGCTTATCTTATCCCTTATCCTCATCCCTTATCTTATCTTATCCTTATCTTTATCTTATCTTAAGTAAGAGTGTGTTACCAATAGGAGTAGGTAATTAGGAGTTTGAGTTCAAGTTGGAGTTTGAGTTTAATTAGGAATTTCCATCTGTAATCTCCTATTTAAGGAGCTATGAATTGAAATAAAGGATTCAGTTTTCCAATCAAGAAAAGAGTGAGGAGAGTCGGGTGGTCTCTTGGACAAATCACCCATTCGGAGAGTTAGGGTGGTCTCTTAGACAAATCACCCATTCAGTTTCTGCAATAGGGTTTGCACGCAAGGGAAGGCGCAAGGGAAAGCAAGGCTTTCTCACCGTGGACCGACCCGTGACGAGATCCTACGCGCGGGCCCATAACAATTTGGTATCAGAGCCAAACGTCACAGGCAATATGGAGCAGCTATCAGTCAAGGTCAACGAACTGGAACATAGGCTAGCAGAAACCAGCATGGAGGTTCGTGAAGTCAGGAAAGACGTCCGGGAGATGCGACGCCTACTGGAAGCATTCCTCCCCAACAAAGAAATGAGTTCTGAGGGAATCGCCAACACCAACAGACACCGTCCGGACTTGGCAGAGGCATCCAGCGAACAACAGATCGTTGCCCCTACAGCCGCAGTTATTTCCAAGGATCAACGCACGGAGGATGAAACTGTAAAGTCTCCTCCTTTGGCCGAGGACAATGTCACGAACATTATAGTAGAACCTGCAAAATGCGCTCCTTTGACGAAGACAGGTGGGCTTGGCGATGTTGCTGGGGCTTTACCGAAGGCCTTGGCTCGGCGTGGACATAGAGTTATGGTTGCGGCACCACAGTATGGTAACTATGCAGAAATCCAAGAAACAGGAGTGCGCAAGAGATGTAAGGTGGAGGGGCAGGATATAGAGGTAACTTCCTCTCAAGCTTATATTGATGGCATGGATTTTGTGTTCATAGATAGCCCTATGTTCCGCAATATTGAAAAAAATACATATGGGGGAGGCCGAGGGGATATTTTAAAACGCATGGTTCGCTTCTGTAAGGCTTCTCTTGAGGTTCTCTTCTGTAAGTATACCCGGTGCGTTCCTGTGATCCACAACAAAGCACACCAGGGCCGTGGTCCAGTACGCGATTTTTGTTATGTGGATCTTCCACAAAACTACTTCAAACTATATGACCTAGGAGGTGGGGAACACTTCAATGTCCTTGCGGCTGGACTGAGTGCAGCAGATCGTGTAGTCACTGTATACCATGGTTACGCCTGGGAGCTGGAAACTAAATAAGGTGGCTGGGGTCTGCATCAAATAATCCAACTTTATGCACTGAGATACGGGGCAGTCCCTGTTGTTCTTGCTGTTGGTGGACTGAGAAATAGTGTGCAGCCGTTTGATCCATTCGCAGAGTCCCAAGCCATGTATCCGAAATACGAGCTTGAGGACAAGCTCGTAGTCCGGGAGGGGTGTAATGTTATGGTCACACCATCCGGCAGCGCACTGCGGAGTAGTCATAGGCAACAACATGCACAGCAGCAGGCACCGCCTGGCAGCGCCGCACAGTAGCACGCACCGCCAGGCAGCAGCGCGCACACGCCCGGCACCGCACGGCAGTAGCACCATGGCGCACAGCACGCACCGCCAGGCAGCAGCGCGCACCGCACGCACTGCACGGCAGCACGCACCGCACACATGCCCGGCATCGCACGGCAGTGGCACCATGAGCCGCG